TAAAGAGAGAGAGAGAGAGAGAGAGAGAGAGAGAGAGAGAGAGAGACTATTCATTCTTGTCAGGAGCCTGGACGGAACCCAGAAAGAGAGCCAGAAATATTCTAATGTCAGGAATCTATGAAAACAAAACAGCCAGTCCTTGAGATGTACGCCATGTTGGCTGCACGTATTGTATGAGCAAAGTATCCCAGCATCCTCGCACGACGCAGGCAAAGTTACACGAGAGGCTTATAATATTATTACCAGGGCTTATTTATGGTAATAGCAGGCAATGCCAGCCGACCTCTGCATGTCGAGTCTAGAATTATGTCCTTTTCAAGGACCTTACAACAGCTTACAGTATAACCTCCTTGGTCCTTTCAGTTATTATATTGGGTGACATAACATAACATAACATAACATAACATAACATAACATAACATAACATAATACATGTATAACGCAACATAACATAACATAAAGGGCTCTTGTGGTCCAGAGGTGCGGTGTTCGCCCCACATTCAATAGATCCCGAATTCGAAACCTGACAGCGACGGAAAATTTTCTCCTTTCATCTCCTTTCCTGCACTCTAACCATATTTTGTTGTCTGCTTTCGTCTCCACTGAAAATGCTTAATGTGTCCTGCGCGCTCATATAATGACCATATGCAGCTGCCAGCGTCATAAACACTTAGAATCTAATATAGATAAATAAATAAGTAAATAAATAAATACATTAATTAATTAATTAATATATAGATAACCTAACCTTACATAACATAACAAAGTAGGCTTACATAGTTAAGCAAGAAGATGCATGTACAAAATGTAACATGTATTTCAAATTCCCCAACGCAGTCAGTTGCTCTGTTGTGTAGAGAAGCGAAAATGGCACACGGGGTAGGGCAGTCCATTCAACGTATGAGATTTTTCTCTTGTTTACACCGACGCCTTTGGTGTAGAGGTTAAGCGTTTTCTGTAGCATGCCGGAGACCCGAGTTCGATTCTCGAGTGGGGAGGAATTT